CTCTTCCATCGTCGCGGACAAGGGGCGACCCAAAGAAGGCAAATCTGAAGAGGGCGGGAGAGGGGGCATGTCAATTGCTGGGCGGGAGCCGATGGTTGAAATGTAACACGCTTCCCTGTATGGTGCCTGCCTTTCCGCCGTGCCGCCTCTCCAGATTGCTCTCAAGCTTGTGGGCGAGGATGGCTTTGTGGTCACCGAGGCCGGCTTTGGCGCCGACATTGGCATGGAAAAGTTTTTCGACATCAAGTGTCGCCAGAGTGGTATGTCCGGTGACAACTCATTTCGTGACAAAGCTTTTGCTTCTGAGCCTGTGAGCAAGGCATGCGCCTATCTCATGCCTCGCAACCTTGTGTGTTCAGGCCTGCAACCCAGCGCCGTGTGCCTTGTGTGCACCGTGCGTGCCTTGAAGATGCATGGCGGTGGCCCGACTGTGACCCCTGGTGCACCCCTGGCCAAGGAATACGTCGAGGAGGTAAGCCGCCAGTATCGCTCAGTCTGTCGGTCTCAGACTTTCAGGTTAGCTTCTGCTCAATGGTCCGCTTGACTTGGAACCCAACACAGAACTTGGACCTGCTGCGCGCTGGCCTGTGCAACTTGACGCGTCACATTGAGAACGTCAAGAAGTTTGGCGTGCCCGTCGTCGTGGCCATCAATGGTTTCGCGTACGCACCTGCTGCCATTTCTGCACGGTTTTCGCTTTCCTCTCTCGCTATTCCAAGCTCAGTAATTGCCTGTGCGCGCACTTGCAGCACGGACACGCAGGCCGAGGTTGAACTGATCCGTGAGGCTGCCCTGAGTGCTGGCGCAGCTGATGCCGTCTCCTGCGAGCACTGGGCCAATGGCGGTATGTGTAAATTCGCACGGCCGCAGTCGCAGCGCTCAGCAAGCCGTTCCATCATGAGTCGTGCGCGACAAGGTGCTCCGTGCTCACTGTCGGGCTGCATAGGTGCTGGTGCGGTGGGCCTGGCCGAGGCGATTGTGCGTGCCACTGACGCGCCCAGTGACTTCAAGCTGCTCTACGACCTGGACTTGTCGATTGAGGAGAAGATTGAAAAGATTTGTCAAGACATTTATCGCGCCGATGGCATTGAAATTTCTCGTATGTGCCGTTTCCGTGGACCATCGTTGCCAACAATTCAGACGGATGTTGAAGAGCAATAGGACTACGTGTGGTGTCCGTCAGCGCTTGGTCCGATGAACGAAACTGTCAAACCTCTCAACCCGCGTGCACTTTGCTGCCTGTGGTCACTTTAGCCGAGGCGCAGCGCAAGATTGCCATGTACAAGGCGCAGGGCTACGGTCACTTGCCCATCTGCATGGCCAAGACACACCTCTCGTTCTCGCACGACCCCGCTCTAAAGGGTGCACCCACGGGCTTCACGGTTCCTATCCGAGACATTCGTGCCAGTGTTGGAGCCGGCTTTTTGTATCCTCTGTGCGGCACGGTAAGTGGCACTGGCCTTCGACTCCTGTGCTGCCTGCCTCAGAAGTGCTCTGGGTGATGAGAGAAGTGCATCAAGCGCTCGCTCATGACTTGATGGGCCTGCCTCTGCATTCCTGTTCCACAGATGTCGACCATGCCTGGTCTCCCCACGCGTCCCTGCTTCTACGACGTGGACATTGACCCGGCGACCGGCGTGATTGACGGCCTCTTTTAGGCCTTTTTTTTTTTTTTTTTGTTTTGATTCTCGATGCCCTATTTCGCAGCGCTTCGGGGCATGTCGTAAATGTGACCTGTGAATTGATTGTTTCAACGTGATCCGACTCGGCCCCGCTGCCTCTTGGCAGTTGCACACAGATTCTCCCACATGGTTTGTAGAGCGGGCTCAGCCCTTCAATTGTTGCACATGGGGGGACGAAAGAGACAGGATTGATAATAACTCACATGTTAATGATATCATGCTTGTGTGCATGGGGCGGGCTGAGTGAGCTCGGCCGAGACCAATTTAGTCGAGGTTGGCGGTGGTGAGGTCAATCAGCATACCACGACAAAATGCTTGATGTGGGTCCGCAATGTCTGGTGGTAGGAGCAGATCCGGTTGCGGCCAACGCAGAGCCGCGAGGCGCGCGTCACGGGCCGCAACATAGGGTATACGTAGTACCTCGACGAAGCCGCAACGCATGAGTAGACGAGTTGAGGCTGGACTGGTGGTTTCAGCGCACGAAGCGTGAATCCCAGCGTCCCGCATGGCCCGGAGGGCTGCGAGCACCAGTGGACGAGTGAGGCCGGCCTCAAAGCTGCCAATCATGAAGGTGTGCCCAAGAGTGTTTTGGCGCAAAGCAGTAGCAGCAGCACGGCAGGCGGCATCTACTGCTGGAGAAGCGCTAAAAACAGTTGTCTCTCCAAAACCCTGGGGAGCGGCCTGGCCTGCAGCCAAACGCTCAGCTACCTGGCCACAGTCGGCCGGTTGTAGCAGCATGGCACGCAGCACATTATCAAGGCGGGTCAAAAAGTCCATGATGGGAGCCATGCCATCCCAGCCAGGAGGCAATTCGGCTGGGTCCTCGACATTGGGATCAAGCGTGCTCTGCACGCAGAATCCAACAGTGCGGCCCGTGGCAGGATCGAGGGCGACGGCTGAGTAATGCTGTGCGGCACTACTGGCCGCTTTGGCCAGGGTATCCCGAGAGAAGGCACCCATGGTGGTGAGTGATTGCTCCGAGGCCTTGGACATGGGCTCGGCCTGGGAGAAGCATGTCGTCATGAGCTGATGCACCTCGGCATGCTTCTCCTTGGGCAGGTCGGGCAAGAAGACGACGTTTCGGGTGTCGCCCGCGCGATTTCGGATTGCAACTTGTGTCGTCGCCATTTCACAGAGCCCGCTCGCGCACAGCTGATCAACAAGAAAATACCACCACGTGACCACCAGCTCCAGCAAGCCCAGTGCCTCGGCCAGCCCTGTCCCAGCGCGTCCAATCAGCCAGTCTTTCTCTCTCTCTCTCTCTCTCTCTCTCTCTCTCTCTCTCTGTTCGCGTCACGTGCGCGGGTGTCAAATGTCACCGTAACTCTTCAAGTAACACACAAGGTCGTGTTGATGAATGTGTATCTTTTGCAACGAGTGTCGCTTCCCCTTTGCACAGCAAAGGTCGGTCAACGAAGAGGTCAACGAAAGTTCACGGAGGAGGGTGAGGGAAGGTGGCGTCAGAGGCGGTAGAGATGGCTGAACGTAAGACCTGGCGGCTGCCGTTTTGAAACGAGTTTAGGATTTTTTCGCGATTTTCGAATCAATTTTTCAGGGATTTTATTGAAATTGCACAAATTGCCCGTCTGCTCGTATTAGTGGTTGAATGCGGGCACTGAGAATGTGGTATCGGTGAGATTGTCAAAAGACGCTCTCGTCTGTAAGTCCGGGCGGCCCACGGCTGGGGTTGGACGGACGCTGCTTCCAGCATGGGGTCGTGCTATGGAAATGGAAAATACTCGATATTGGGGTCCTGTTCGATTCCAGCGAACGGATTCAAAGACGTGTTGACTGTCAATTCTCTCGGCTGATTAGCAGCAAAAGCACAAAGTCGTTGACGGACAAGCAGGCCAACGTGGCAGTAAACATCTGAATCCCAACAATCCCACTCCATCCCTCAGTCTCGCAGTTGCCCAAGACACGTCAAAAGAGAGAAGAAGATACATCCTGTCGTCACTTTACTCGGGATACTCTTCAATAAAGCGAAAGACTATGCTGACGCGACACTCGTCCGTCTTCTGCTTCTCATCGCGTGTGGGCACGGGGTTTGGGAGAAGGATGGCGTGTTGCCAGTCCCACCGAGCCTCGCCGCTGAGCGAATACACATCACCCGGGTTGAGCCAAACGGCAAAGCAGTTCGTGTTGTCTGAGCGCTGCCGCATCAACAACCAGCACGGCGAACGGAGCGTTAGCGAGGTGATGCGGTCCCCGACACCATCCAGCTCCACGTTTTGTCTGCACAAAGTTTTTAAACACAAGCATGACGCAGGCATTCAGTATCGGTGCGTAACGCTCTCTCCAACGCATGAAGCAGGTCCGAGAGGAGGGAAGGGGGGGGGTTTGCCACAAACCGGTCATGTGTCTTGTCGCGGCGGTCTCGATCACAGTGTAGCTCCAAATCTTCAAAGTGCCACGAAACCTGCTGGCACAACAGCTGGGTACAGGTTCGAGGGAGGGAGAACAGTGTCCAAAAAATCGGTAGTGAGGGCGGACGATTGTTGGCACTGGAGTGACGCTGCTGCGTCTGACAGCATACCTCGGTGTGAATGACAAAGGGGTCTTGCGTTAAGAAGGCGCGACCAATGTAGTCGGATATGTCCTGGCCCGATTTGAGACGGAGTTCGAGTTTGTCAACGGTGCCGCTGGCACGCAGGGTGGCTGCGTATCTATGAGCATAAATGCCCGCCCACCAAAGAGAAAAGTGAGCTTTGGTGCCTGCTGCGTATGCCGACTATCAGTGCTGCAGCCAGTTCATACCGGCCGCCACGGAGCTGGCGTTGAGCATCGGTGCAACAGAAAACTTTGCGACTGTTGCTTCGAATGCTGGGCGTCAGCATCGACACCTTCTTTTCCCTACGATTCGGTTTGAGTGGGCATGACGAGAGCAATGCATGCATCACAACATGAAGATGTTGAATCAGGAGGGATAAAGGAGCAGAAAAAGGGCAAACGAAGAAGCGAGTGGACAGCACGGGCAAAAAAGTAACGCCTGAGCCGGGGGGTGATGAGGGAGAGCGGGGCAGAGAGTCAAGGCCGCACCACTCGATGCGACGTTGGTTAATGATGTGAAGAAGGCGTTCCTGGTCCTGTGGGTTCACGAGCTTGCGACGCAGCTCAAAGCCTTTGCAGCCTGTTTGGGACGAGGCGTAAAAAGGGAGGGAAATTGAGGGAGAAGGCAGGCCATCAGGTGGCACCGAGGGAGCAGGGCGCGGGGCACAACGGACCGTAGGGATTGAGGACGCGCAAGGGTTCTGCATCGACTTGACCGGCGACGCGCTGCGGAGTACGACCAAGGGTGATGGCGCGGACCAGCGAGCGAGCCGAGGCGCTGCGGGTTTGAGCCGGGCTGCGACGCCAAGCAGAGAGTTTGTCCATGTCTTTGCTGATTTGGCAGCCGAGGGTGCAGATGCGCATTGGGTTCCAGGTGGGATCGGAGCGCTTGTAGTTGGGTTGCTGCTCGAGCTGGGGCTGGCAATGGGTGTGAAAGATGGCCCGGCAGGAGGGACACTGGACAGTGGCAGCGTCGGCCGTGACCGTCCGCTGACAATCGAAACAAGTGGCTTTGATGCGCTAGGTGGTGGGGCACGGGACACATTGAGTTGGAGGCTGCAAGGAGAACAGGGGGCGGTTGGCACAGAGAGAGAGAGAGAGAGAGAGAGAGAGAGAGAGAGAGAGAGAGAGAGAGAGAGAGAGAGAGAGAGAGAGAGAGAGAGAGAGAGAGCAGCGGCTGTATAAGAAGCGCGGGTGTAACAAACCTTGACGGCAGGGGCTGCGCCAGCGTCTGAGCGAGCACGCATTGAGGCTGGCCTGTCTGTCTGGGTCATGATAAGGTCAGAGGAGTTGGAAGCTGCGGTCGCAGCCGCAGTAGCGGCGTGAGTGCGGAGGGCACGTTTTGGGGAGGCTTGTTGGGCTGAGAAGCAGGGCTGCTTCAGGGGCACCATGGTAGTGGGGAGACAGAGGTCGTCCCACTCGGATTGCGCATTCTCAATCAGGCGGAGGGAGGGAGTGCGCAGTCTTGTCGACCGGCGCGCTGTTGTTGTGCTGCTCATGGTGGAGGGCGGTGGGGCTGGGATGTTTGGGGGCAAGTCTGAACAGCTCTGAGCCACGGGGGGCGAGGAGACGAGGGGCCGGCGCGACGTAGGCATAGACCACGCGCTCGCGGATTTTCAACGAGCAACTCTGCAATTCACGTCGCGGTCAGGCCTCACGAAAAAAAAATGAGGGGCCAGTCGAGTGCCCCAAACCGAAAGCGCACCGAAAGCGCATCCGTGTAGGGTGCTGCGTTTTGGAATCCGTCACACTCTATGTTCGTTCACCATTACAACGTGAGAAGTGCCCACCCTGGAGGGGTGTTTGAACGCGAGGCAGACCAGGCCATCCTTGAGCTGATGACACGGATGGACCCGACCCACCCCACCCCCACACACTTACACACACACTTACGCAGAGGTCGGACAACGCCACACACACACACACTTACATACGGGAGGCGACTTGATGCAAAAAAAAAAAAAAAAAAAGGTGCGCCAGCGCCATTTGCAAGCCGGAGGTTGCATTTGTCAGACAAAATACGTCAGACTTTCTAGCCCCGCTGATGTCAGACTATTTTGTTCGTGTCGTCTTCTTGTGTGTGTCGTTTTGTACACTGTGGATTTGTGAATCTTTTGTTTCTTGTTTCTTGTTGCTCTCTGTCTCTGGTCTCTCTCTCTGTATCTCTCGTCTCTGATTCTCTCTCTAACTGTATCTCTGTCTCTATCTCTCTCTGTCTCTCTCTCTGCTGCTCGTTTTGGGACCTCTCCCTCTCCCTCTCCTCTCTCTCTCTCTCTCTTGCCGTGTGGGATGTGTGAGTTCTCTGCTGCGTGATACGGTACGTGTTGGTTGCTGGTTGCGGATGGCGGTGAGCTTTGGGGGATGGCAGCGGTGGCCGGGGGCGTTGGAGAGAGAGTTGTCGAGTTGTGGAACGAGTGATGGGGGACCAGGAGGGACCGCGTTGTGTCAAAAGGTGTAGAGTGTGCGGCTCACCTCCGGGTTTGGTTGTGGCGCTCGCTGTGCGGGTGCCGTCCTTTCTGCTCGCCCCACCCGCCGCCGTTCCAGGATAGAAGCTACCAAGGCACAGCAGTTACTGGTCTTGCCTTGCTCCCTGTCAAACGGCACACGCCATAAACCTTTGTCACGTGCTTTCCTCCACCCCCCCGCCATTTTTTTTTTTTTTTCCTTTGGGAGGGCAAGACGACATCGTTCTTATGCACCTGAGCTGAGAGCCGGCATGCCGACAGGGCGGTAGTTCAAGGGCCAAGTCCCCGCCGTACTCCCTGCTGCATCTTAACAGAGACTGAAGAAGGAGTCTTCCCCCTCTTCCTTCTTTTGAGACTCTCTATACACTCGGTCTGAAGCGGACCTTGGCCTGCTTTGACCAGCTCCGTGCCCGACAGAAAACGTACACACCGAACGTGTCCGTCAAGCATGGCCCTTTTGCGACTGGTTGAGGCGCTAGCCTTTTGCATGATATGCCTTATGGTGCCCGTGGCACGGGGCTATTGTGATTACCGGACCGTGGTCACCCTTGAGGCGAATACTCCCGTGATCGTCACCAGCAACAATCGCTCCTACTACAGCACGTACAGCCCAAAACGCTCTTGCGAGTGGTTCATCACCGGTACGTCAGACTCGGGGTACTCCCGATGCAGCACAGCACCACCACAATTGGCCAGCCAATGCAGTAAATGTTAAACGCCCTCACCTCACCTCAATACCTTTGCTTCCTCGACGTCCCATTTATTTTGCTCAGCACCCCCGGGCCTGATCGTGCAGATCGAGCCGCTAACCTTTGACACAGAATGCAGCTGGGATTACGTCACCTTTTACGACGGCCCAAATCACAGCAGCCCCGTGTTGGCGGCTGCTAGCGGCAACCAGTTTTCTGAAACTCTTCATTCCACGAGCACGACGGTCCGAATGCCTGCCTCATCTGCACGTCCCATCGCTCACATACCTTCCAACCATCGACCGCTCATGGTGATACTGAAACGCCCTTTCTATCATCTAGGCCGTGATTCACTTTTACAGTGATGCAAATTATGTTCGCCCGGGCTTTGAGCTTCAACTCTCCGCAGTCTCCCCCTCTGCCAGTAACCCCAGTCCCGCATGCGCAGGTGAGCGCTTCTGCTTCCTCTCAGCTCTGCGCCGTCCCCACTTCTTTCAGAGTATGTCGTGAGCCGCTGCCTTACGGGTCAACTGTGGCCACCTTCTCTTTCTCTGGCGTTGTTTGCAACCGTTTGCCCTCGCCATGTCTGCCTGTGCAGCCACAGATTGTGCGTGCGCCAATGTTTCGGGGGTGGCCTGCCTTGTTCACTCGGCCAGCGAGCCCAACACCTGGTTTCGGGCGGCTCAGCTTCCGCCCAGTAACATTGGTATTGGTCCCCTTAAAGCTGCGGCTGCTCCAGTTTCCAATGGGACCTACTTTTACGGTGGCTCTGATCTCACCACCGTGAGCCACCAGCTTTTGTTCGTCGCCGAAGACCTCAGCATCAACCGCTTGCCCAGCGCAAACCTGTCTCTCCCCGTATGTTATTGTGTCATTGGCGTTGACATCTGCCCAAGTGGAGTTATCATCGCGTTCAACTCACCGCATCACTCACCCCTCTTCCATCCCTTCAGGGAGCACGACGATACAGCCATGCCATGGCACAACTGAACAGTGTTCTTGTTGCGCATGGCGGATACGATGCGGTGACACCGTCAGCCACCTCGATGCGCGAGGATGCCATCGCCTTTGATCTGAACCGCCACGCGTGGATCAGCCTGCCCATCTTGGGCGCGCAAACAGGCGCTTTGGTCGGACACACCATGACGTCCGTTGGTTACGGGCAGGCCATCGTGATTGGTGGCCGCGGCCTTGACAAGGTCTTCAACCCCTGGATCTACCGCCTTGAACTGCAGGATAACCACACCTTGACTTCCACCCGCCTCTTGCCGGCCGGCCAGACCCTCAACCTGCGTGTGAGTCGGCCATCACCAGCCTTTTGGTGCCCATCTTTACTTTACACCCTACCGCTCGTGGCTTGGTGTTATTCACAAGAGACCCCAACCTGTCAACCCGTGTAGGTATCAGAGCATAGCGCAACCTGGTATGAACCACATGGCGTCATTTACATCTTTGGTGGATATCGCGAGACCGGTCCCAGCACAACCAGCAAATCAAATTTGGTATGCACGTCCGTCCCCTTCTTGGTCTGCGGTTCTGTTCAAGCTCTCGGCAGGGCTTTTGCTACCACTGTTCCTCACTACTTGCCTTGCCTTGCCTTGCCACCCCATCATTATCCAGCTCTACGGTTACAACGTGGAGCAAAACTACTTGTTCCTGGTGAAGCCTCGCAATGCCTTTATCCCATCACCACGGGCCTTCCACAGGTATTGCCGCACCCGCCCCCCGAGGCGCAGCGTCGGGTTCATTCAACCGGCAAACACAGCGTTCAACCACACGTCTCACCACATCATGTTTGTGGCGGTCCTCGGCGCGGCATACCGCCCCTTGCTCTGCAGTGCGGTGCTGATGGGATACGCCATCGTTTTTCATGGCGGTCAAATTCACTCTCACAATCAAGACGAGACGTGTTATGCCGATGACGTTCTTGTTTTCCACCTTGATTGCCAAACCTATGAGGAGCTCATCTTCAGGTCTGCCGACGCTGTCTTGAAGCCCAAGAATGCTCAAATCGCCGCCGACCTTCAGATCTCCTCTTCTCACTCGTGAACCTCGGCTTTCTTGTTCTTGAATGCTCGCACATGCCGCGTAGTGCGGACGGGCGCGAAGGAAGTCGGTTTGCACACAACCTCATGGCTGCAGGTAGCCACCTTGTGGCCGTTGGTGGTTTTCGCGGCATTGCCGTTCAAGATATGCTTGTGAGTGCCCCAAGCAATACCAGTGCTGCGCCCGCGCACCCTTCTCCTTGCGTGCTCGTCAAACATGACAAAATGTTTGCCTTACACTTGGACTGTATGGTACCTGGTGTCACAGACGGTCATGCCAGAGCTGTCTCAGTGTGCTCCGCAAGAACCAAGCACGTGCGTGGCCACGCCTGACTGTCAACTTTGCGTGAGTCCCATTCCCACCACAACTACCACGGTAACCACGACCCCAGCGCCCACAACTACGCCCGATGAGTCCACCGCGACGACGCTGTTTGCCAATTCTTCCTCAACCGCGTTGAGCACTTCCTCTTCGGAGCTCTTCTCCACCTCCACCCCGACAACCATGGCCATGACGACCACGCCCACCCCAAGCAACTTTGTGTGCATCGAGGCTGGTGAGCTACCCAGCGCCGCTGGTGCTGAATGCTATGATTCCCTTTGCCTGGCGGCGTGTACCGCTCGGACCACTTGTGGCGATTGCACGGCGCAGGCTTCCTGCGTCTGGCGAGGTTCGACCTCAAAGTGTTTGAGCGTGGCGCAAGCTGGTACTTTGACGGCTGATGATGCACGCAATGCCACGCAATGCATACGCACGGTGGCCACCGCCACGGGTGTGCTCGAGTTGTCCTTTGGAACCACCATCCTCGGCAGCATTTGGTCCAACTACGAAGCCATGGCCCTATTGCCGAGCATCACAGCTGATGCAGCACAGACGGCACCAGGACTTGTGTATGCAGCCTCTTTTTCTCTCGCAACCGCTACAAATGTCACCCTTGCATCCCGTTTTCATGCGGGGGGCACCTTTCGCATTTACGCGGACAGCCTATCTTGGCTGGCTTTGTCAGCCTCCAATCTCAACAACGCACTGCACCCGCCCACCAAGTTGCCGACTGCCAGCACCATTTACACCCAAACCTCGCTTGCAGCGGGAAGCTACAAGATGTTAATTGTCTTGACCACAGACGAGTTGACGCCAGCCTCGGCCTGGTACGAGGACGCATCTGGGGGCACCCAAATACCACAGCCTTTGGGCGCCCGAACATTTGCTCTTCGGACCGCCTCTGGCTCGTCCGTAGTTCTGCAGCCACCCATGAGTGCCGACTGCAGTGCCATGTCCGATGCGTGTGGCATATGCACGCTCTTTTCCAACTGCATGTTTGTCTTGGGCGAGGGCTGCCGTACGCGCAATACCTCGAGCTCGGCAAGCCTCGGACTGGTCGCCGCCACCAACCCAGCGCAATGTTGGAGTTGTTCCGCCCTCCGCACATGTGACGCGTGCCACGCTTACCCAGGTTGTGCGTGGGAAAACGGAGCGTGCGCGCTGACTACGAGCAATGAGACTCGCACTACGTGTCCGACGCCCTGTGCGCTGCGAACAAACTGCACCAGCTGCTTTGCAGATTCCTTTGGCAACAGCAACTGTGGCTGGTGTGAATCCACGGGAACCTGCTTTGACTTTGGTCCCTACACGGCGAGCCAGGCTTTTGGGCAGTGTAGCAGGTTGGTGCTGCTGTGCTCGCCCTAGCTCGTCAGTTGGACAATGGTGTATTGTGCATGGTGGCTCATCCGTTTGTGCGCGTGCTTGTCGGTGATCACAGTTGGGACTATGGCTACAGTGCTGCGCCTTGCGGTGGCTGCCAGCAGCATGCAACCTGTGACGCATGTATGAAAGGGTTTGGCTGTGGCTGGCTGGGCAACGAGGTAAGTCTTATTGTAATGACCGTGGCACACCACATGCTTGCAAGGAGGAATTTTGAGGAGCAAGTTTGAGGAGCAAGTTCAGGTAGCTTTGGAAGGGCTCCCGTCAACGGCTGAACACTTGCACATTGCCTCGTTTTGTGTAGACGGAGTTTGGTGCTTGTCGCGCCGGCGATGTGACGGCCGTAGCAGAAGATATAGAGGCAGACGTGGGTGAGGATTGGTTCTACACGGGCTGTCCACCGGAGAATGAGTGCCTAATGAATACATCAGACTGTTCGACGCACGCCGTGTGCGTGGACGAGGAGCTGGGTTACAGCTGTCCATGTGAAGCGGGGTACGACGTGGATCACAGCCAGGATAGCCGATATTTTGGGCGCAGCTCGAATCCCTGCCTACCACAGTGCGACACTGTCACCTGCGTGCACGGCTCGTGCGCTGCCCCAGAGACATGCGGTTGTGATCTGGGCTGGACGGGTACCAACTGCACGCTAGACTGTGGTTGCAACTTTAATGGGGTCTGCACTGGCAATGTCGAAGCGCCATGTGAGTGCGAGCGCAACACCATGGGCACGCGCTGCGACACCTGCCTGCCCGGCTATTTTGGCAATGCCACGGCTGAGGGGTGCCAACCGTGTGACTGCAACGGCCATGGCGATCCGCGTTTTGATCTGTGCGATCCCAACACCGGCGTCTGCTACTGTCGTCACTACACGCAGGGCGATCACTGCAACCAGGTGCGCTCAGCGTCCCCCCTGTATTGTGTATGCGCGCGTGTGCGTTTGCGTGGATGTGTGTGGTCGTTGCTAGTCTGGTGCTTTTGGCCTGCCATCTTCTCATTCCTCGCTTTCCCTATGCTCTTTGGGGTCACTTGCTATCCTAGTGCATGAATGGGTTCTATGGTGAGCCGAGCAACGGGGGAGTATGCTACTCTGCGTGTGGGCATGGTGCAACCACGTCGAGCGAGCAGCGTGTTGAGCTGACTGAACACTTTGGCGGGTTCGGAACTCAGCGATACGGGGGTAGCGCGGGTCACGCCGACGACCTCAACTGCATCTGGGCCATTCGTGCAGGCAGCGCAACAGCACGCGTTACCTTTTTCTTGAGCGACTTTGAGACGGAGTGCAGCTTTGACTATGTTCACATTTTTGAAGGAAGCGAGCTGCCCTCTCCCCAATCTGCAGGCTCGCGACTGCTGGCCGCACTGTCGGGCAGCCAGCCCATGCGCTCGTTCACCACCACCAGCGGCTACCTGCTGGCTGTCTTTTATGCCGATAACAACTATGGCGAGCGTGGCTTCAACATCAGTTACAGCATCCAACCGACTGAGCCTGAGTGGGTGGCGTGTCCCAATGACTGTGGCGCACGGGGGCCATGCCTCAATGGTACCTGCTTGTGTCGACCGGGTTGGACTGGTGATGACTGTTCGCGCGTCGACTGCCGCGTGCAGGATGCCGCCTGCTCGGGACGAGGCACCTGCGGCGAGGCGGATGGCCACTGTGACTGCGAGGTGGGCTACAGCGGTGACCTTTGCCAAGACGTCACAGCTTACGCGTGGCAAGACTTGACAACAGATTCCTTACCACCGCTGTCTGGGCACTCGGTCACGCTCTATCAGAGCTCGCGCCTGTACCTTTTTGGTGGCTATGACCTGGACACGTATCACAGCGACGTGTATGTGTACATCTTGGGCAACCCGCGCTGGGTCCGGGAGAACGTTGATACCTCTGGTGGCCAACCGGCGGGGCGGCACCTGCACACGGCCGTCATGCGCACCTCCGGAGGAGTGCCCGCACTGACAATCTTTGGCGGTGCAGTGGGTAATGGCCAGGTCACAAATGATGTGTGGACGTGGAATCTGCAGACCAAAATCTGGACGAACCGCACAACAACGGGTGCCATACCTCAGCCTGTAGCTGGGCACTGCTCCGCACTGGTCGGCAACCTTATGTACGTGTACGGCGGCGCAAGCGACGCAATGGGCCTGCACGGTATGTTGTACACCCTGAACCTGGACACGTGGGTCTGGTCGCGGCCATCCAGCTCCCCGGTGGTGCACCCGCCGGCTGTCTTTGGTGCCACACTGACATATGACAGCGTCAACCTACGCCTGTTGCTGAGTGGAGGCCAAGAGGAGTCAGTGCTGCGTACCACAAACAGCTTTTATCACAGCTTGACACGCTCCAGCAACTTTTTTGAGTGGTCGCTCCGCGGTGGTCAGACGGGTTGGCATGCGTTATCGCGCAGTGCGCCTTTTTGCAGCCCTTCCACTGACTGCCTGGCCCGATCGGGCCATGCTACGTTCATTCACGAGGACTTGATGTACAACTTTGGTGGGAACACCTTTGAACACAACGTCGACACGGGGTGTCAAACGGACGACCTCCAAGCCTACCATTTGGAATGCGATGCATGGATTCCCCTGCCGACCGAGCTCAACGGCCGCACCAGCGATGGGCTGGGCCGCGTGTTCCACCGCGTGGTCGCCTTGAATGAGCAGGCATACGGCGTGGGTGGGTTTACCGGTGCTCCCTCGCGCTGGACGGCTGCACGGACCTTGTACAGTGCAAGCGAATTGTGTCCACTGTACACGGACCGTAGCACGTGCATGGATAATTTTAACTGTGCTTGGAACGCGACGGCCGCGACCTGTGACCCTTTGCCCGCTGCCAACTGTTCACGAGCGGCTTTGAGCTGCTCCGCTCGGCCTTCGTTTGTCCTCACCACCTATCAGTTCTGCACGGCTTGCCTGGAGGATGATGGGTGTCACTTTTGCGTGTCCAGCAGTGGGATTTTCTCGTGCTCGTCTTCCGCGTGCAGCGCTTCAGCCACCACGGTGAGCCGGGAGCACCCGTACTGTAGCTCATGTCGCGGCTATTCTTCGTGCTTTGACTGTGCAAGCAACGGGTGCGTGTGGAGCCCCGAGGTGTCCCTGTGCACGGATTCCGCCTATGGCTCTTCAACAGCCGTGACAACGACGGCAGAGTGTCCGGCCATGTGCGACTACGACTCGTGTGGTGACTGCGAGGCTGCCAGCGGTTGCTTGTGGTGTGAGGGTGAAGGTCGTTGCTTGAATGACTTGAGCTATGTGGCAGAGCAATCACTCGGCCAGTGCTTTCGGTATGGCGACTTGAATGGCAACGCATGTCGGAATACCGAGTGCGCTGACTACGGCGACTGCGACTCGTGCCTTGACGACATTCGGTGTGGCTGGTGCGCGGCCAACGCATCAGTTGGCGTGTGCAGCGCGGGGGCACCGGGAGGTGCCGCCGAAGCACCACCAGCGACAGGCACGACCACGACAACGCCGCCGACGCCTGTGGCTTCAACTGCACCGGGGCTCAGTACGACACCAGCTGACGTGGCATGGGGCAGTGCCACCGACGTGGAGGCCACGTGTGGCATGCTGGACGTCTTTACGCTGCCCGTACCTGTGCCTGAGTTTGAGGCCCAAGCCACCGGGGCTGGTGGCGCGGGCAGAAACGGGACCGGCTGGTATTTCTTCCATTGCGCTGACGTGGACGAGTGTGCGCTCAACACGTCGGCATGCCGCGCTCCCAGCGTGTGTGTTAACGAGGATCCGGCAGTGGTCATTGGCTCAATGGGGTATCGGTGTGAATGCCCGGCCAACTACACGACCTCAGCGGATCGCCTCGGCTGTGAGGCCGTGTGCGAAACCAACGGGTGCGTGTACGGTGACTGTGTGGCTCCCGATACGTGCCGCTGTCATGCGGGGTGGTACGGGGTCAATTGCAGCCAGGACTGCGGCTGCAATGGACACTGCACCTGCACCTCACCCACCAATCGGTCGGCGTGTCTGGACAACACGGTGGGTGATACGTGTGACGAGTGCATGGAGGGCTTTCACGGCACACCCACCAATAATGGCACATGCGAGGCCTGTAGCTCCGTCTGTAACGGGCAGTCGACAACGTGCCGCACATCGGTGGTGGCTGGTGCGGCCGTGTGCCAGGACTGTGCGTATCCCACCACGGGGTCGTACTGTGAAGAATGTATGAGCGGTTTCTTCATCGATCCCGACATTTTGGTGGCGGCACATGCCGCAGACATGGATCCTACTGAATATGTGCTCAGCAACGCATCGGTACCCATGAGCTGCGTACCGTGCGACTGCAACGGGCACGCTTCGACGTGTGATGCCGTTGACGGCACCGACTGTCCGTGTGCGGACAACACGGAAACCGACTTGACGGACTGTGATGAGGACAGCTACGGGAGCTGCTGGCATGTGCAGTGTGCGTCGTGTGTGAGCTATATTTCCGTTGGTGATGTCACCTTGACGTTGAACGGCGACCCCACAGATGGACGTTTTTGCTACACGCTACCTAGTTCGGGCATGGTGACGTCAGTCCGCCTACCGGCACAGACGATGCTGCAGTTTGCCGTCATCCCCACCTTTACCAACGTTGACATTCGTGTGGTGGTGGACAAGGACGTAGCGGATCCAGGCAACCTGGAGGTGAGGATCTTTGATACCATCAATGTATCGACGGGCAACGTGACGTACAAGACATACGTGCCGTTGGATGGCATGGCGAGCGGGGTGCGACGAGCGACGGCAAGAGCGGCCCCACCCGCGTCCTCACCGGTGCTGGATGGGACGGTTCGCGACCGCCACACGTTCATCTTGGGCAGCAAGCAGCACGATTTTCAGCAGGAGCGCTTCTATGTGTTTGTCATCAACCCGGAGACTGCGTCGGCCATCGATGTGCAGTTTTTCTATGTGCAGCCCGTGGTCTCGATCAATCTGTTTGTGTTCTTCAGTGTGTTCTTCAGCGCCTTTTACCTGTTCCTGGCAGCCCTCGTGATTGTGGCATACTTTAAGCGTCGCGTGGACGAGCGCCGCGTTCAGCAGCAGGAGCAAGTTCAGATGGAGGTACGTGTGTATTTGTGCGTCGGGGTGGTGCCTTTTTATTTTTATTTTTGCTCGTTTGGGCTTTGGGGGGTGACAATCACATGTGCTTGGAGTGGTTTTGAGCCGATGCCGAGCGCCGCTGTCTACAATGACAACCTCTATTGTCCCTTTTGCATCTGAATTTTCCACAGGAACTGGCGAATCGACCCATGGCGGCAGTGAGTCTGCTTTTGGAGCCGCCCGTGGTCAGTGGTACGGCTGCCATTCGAGTCGTTGAGGCCATCTCTCGGAAAAAGTTGCTTTGCGGTCCAATTGCGATCCAGCCCCTAAGGTACACATCCAGCCTTTTTTTTTTATTTCGAGTTAGGGCTCGTTTAAATTCGTGAGCCAGCGCTGACTGTTTCGTGAAATGGGGGTGTCTCTCTCGCAGAAGTCATGGTGGCAAGGACCGCATTACGACGTACCTAGTGGAGCTGCCTTCTGATTCGCACCATCGTAGCTTGGTCCTGGGTGTTACACGGGATTCGACAGAGCCACCCGCGGCGGGCGGCAAGCGGCGGCGCCGCATGATTGCCACAACCGCCGTCTAAGCGATAGCTCTCTTATGGGAAAGTGTTTTAATTTTTTTTTTGTCTAGTTTTCTTTTGGGGTTGCTTTTACTCTGACTGCTCATGCGGCAGATTCCAGAGAATCCGCTGCTGTGCGCTTTGGCCGGGCTCGCTTGAGCCGTGCTTAGACCCTTTCTCCTTATTCTTATTTGATCTCGATGGGTCATTTCTTGCTTTGATTCCTTCTGGCGCGCATCCTTTTTCCTGTCTCTGTTTCACTTTGCCTTTGATCGCTCCATCAATCTAGCTTTTTTTGACGGCAACCAGTCGTGTCACGGGAACCGAAAGGCAGACGAGCCGCGAGCTCATCCCAATAATAATAAAGAAAGGACTTGAATCTGCTTTCAGGCAAGCCCTGACCAAATCCTAAGCCACAAACACACACACAAACACGAACACACACAGGCAGAGCTTTGCTACCAACTGTGAACCACCCGGCAGAACAAGACCACCTTACCAAATGTAATGGCAGACTGGACCGCCCCCTTTCCCAACCAAAAGAACAAAAGCCTGCCAAGAAGAACAAAAGAAAAGAACAAAGAGAGAGAGAGAGAGAGGAGAGAGAGAGAAAACAAAAAGAGAGCAAAACACCAATTCCCTGTTGCTGTTCTGAAACCTCCGCCCCCTGTCTCGTTGTGTCCCTTGGTCTTTCTCTCTCTCTCTTTCTGTGCTCTGGCGTTTTTTTTTGTTGGTCTGGGGACCAGAGGAGGTGTGTGGTCGCTCGCTTTGCCCGGTTTGAGGTCGTGCTCTCGTGCTCTCCGGCTCTACTTTGCGGCGTGACTGTGTGTGGGAACTGGTGGCGTTGACACGTCTTGTCAGAGGATTGATCTCGCTTCGTTGGCCTTGGCACCTCTTACGGTCCCGCTCGATTTGTGTGTTTGCTCGTCGCCCGTCGCTACCACTAGGCAGTCAGTCGTACAGTGCAGTGCGGCTCGGCTCTCGTCTTCGCGGCGCAGATCCTCAAGCAGGCGCGGCATCGAGTGCCCGTACACGCTTGTCGTTTGCCAAGACTTATCTTGACGTTGTGTGTCCACACGCCTCGCAACCTCCCATCTCCACCGCCATTTTCGACCAACCCATTCCGCACACCGTGGCAGGCTGTTGTTCCGTGGGGAGCACTGCCGTCGTTGAGATTTTTGCTCGCCCGCCTCCTCCGGAGCACCTTATCCTTGGCCTTGGGTGCTTCTCGCCTCACCAACGCAATCAACTGGCACTGCCGTTGGGTTTGCGGATTGAAGACCATCACCTCGTGTGATTGCATGCAAACTCCAAGGCAAACCTTGCTCCGCCTTTCTCGTTGACGCCCTGGCTCGACATCTTTGAACAAAGTGCTTCCCGTGCGTGTGTGAGACGCAGTGGTGAGTCGTTTTCTCGTGAAGATCGACAGTTTGAAACGTGTTGGCTTGAGGCAGGCCCTTCTCATCTCATTCTGGCTGTGAATTGCATTGCATTCCCAAATTAGGCCAGGTTCAACCGCACGTTCCCTTTCACGTTGCGCCTTGAATCTCCGTCTTGCGCCCTCGTGCGGCCTCTTCCCTTCTTTAGCACACGAGGAACGCTTCCCTGCCGCTTGTCAATCATTCCACTTTGAACATGGCCTCTATTGCACGAAAACTTGTTTGCATCGGCGATGGTGCCGCGGGCAAGACCTGCCTCCTCATCGTCTTTGCCAACAAGGAGTTCCCCGATAAGTACATCCCCACCGGTAGGTTGATGTTCTTCGTTGCACCCTTGCACCCTTACAGCCCCGCAATCCGAACATCGCAATCCGAACATCGCGACCCCGCGCCTCATGCCCACTGATACCGGAATCGACCGCATCTGGTGCTATTCAGTCTTTGAAAACTATGTGGCCTCAATCCAGCGCGACGACACGACCGTCGAGCTTGCGCTCTGGGACACTGCCGGTGCGTTTTGAACTGACACGTACTTTGCTCAGGATGGCCATGCTTGGCGCACAATCTCATCTTGCCTCTACGGTTGCCTCGCTACTTTTGCAGGCCAGGAAGACTACTCGCACATCCGGCCGCTGAGCTATCAGGATGCGCACGTCTTCCTCATCTGTTTTGCGGTCGATAACCGCGACAGCTTTGAAAATGTAGAGGCAAAGGTATGTTTGGGGTTTTTTTTCTGGCTTGGCGAGCGAGGCGGCTCATGCCCATGCCTTTCTCTCACACCCTGGTGGTCACCTTGGTCATTGCGCACGCAAATAGTGGGTGCCAGAGATGCGCCACTACTGCGCCAATGTGCCGTACGTCATTGTAGGCTGCAAATCAGATCTGCGTCAAGACACGGCCAAGGCCGCCAACGCCGTATCGCAACAGGAGGTGCGTTCCCTCCACGTTTTGCTGGCCATGCCTCAAAACCCGCCCCGTGGTGTGCTTTCGCTCGGCGATTTGTCACGCTCATCGCTCATCCTCGCGTCGTCACCATCCATATGCCGGGGGCCATGCAGGCAACCGCCATGGCACAGAAAGTAGGGGCTTTGGCATACATTGAGTGTAGCGCAAAGAACAACGACAACATTGAGGCGGTCTTTGAACGGGCAGCTGATGCGGCTCTAACCACCAAGAGCAGCTCAGGCTGCTGTGTTGTTCTCTAGTGCCGTGATGTCTTTGTACAACAGAGCTAGTTTCCAGCGACAACCTGACCGGGTTTGAGCCAGTTCTCGTCGAGCATGACACCTCTGGTCATGCTTTGAAAGCCTGTCCTTCCCCTCCCCAACCCCATGGTCTACTCCCGGGGCGTTTTTGTGCGTACTTGTCCTTCGTTGTTGCTGGCTTTGGTGCGCGCGCCTCCTCAGCAGCTCTCTCCTTTCATTCTCGAGGGTGTAGATCGCACCTGTCATATGCATTTCTTTTGGCCAAACCTTTTCATTTCTTGCTCATGATCAGATTGCTTTTTTTTTTTTTTTGTTTCCCCTTTCGTCGCCCTGTTTTCATCCATTCTCGGTTCGCCTGTGTCTTGTCTGGGTCGTGGATGCCCTACCTTGTCCGTATGCATTTGTGTCTTTCTTATCCCTTCTCTTCTTCCCTGATTTGCATGGCCCTTGTCTCAGAAACTGGTGTTCATGAATGGAAAATAACAAATCCAAAAAATAAAATGATTGTGCCATCCGAACCCGACACGTCCATCCCACGCACACATGCATGCTTGCCTAGCACCCTTGACCTTGTTAAGCGCGAACAATACAAGTCGAGTGTGGGGCTAGCAAAGAAATTGCCAAAGCCATCTCAAGCTTCATGCCTGATGCTGCACTTTGAAGGCTGGCATCACTTTGTCTCTTTTGATGGGTGTATTGACATCAAGCGAGTTCAGTGTCAAGAATGTGGATTCAGCATTGTCATGGAGTGAAAGAGAAGTCAGAGGCTATGGAGCGAGAGAAAGGGCAAGACACGATGGCGAACAGAGAGAAGTAGACGCCATCGATTTGAAGACGCCGCCTTTTATCCATTTATTCTTCGGCCTCGAACGCGCCGGCAACGTCCTGGGCGATACGGTCCAGATCACGCTGGCCAGTGCGGGTCAGCTTGCGGCCACCATCCTCGGCCTTCTCAACGACCTTGATAGCCTCGAGGCCCTGAAGGGCCTTGCGGATGATCGAGCCGGAGGCACGCTCAAACCTGCTGGGGCCTGCATCACACATTAAAACATGGTCAACTCAAAGCATGGGCGTGGGCATGGACACGTCGGTTGCTGACATAAAATAAAATGAAATAAAATAAGAGCGACACACTTACGGTTGCCACGGGGCTTGGAGCCACCGTACACACGGCGGAGGGCACCAATACCGACACCACCGCGGACGTACAAGTGACGGGCAAGGGCGGCTGCGAAAAAGGTAACCGTAAAACGACAAATGACAACATAGGCGTGAGATTGAAGGCAAAACGGAGCTGAGCAATGACCACAGCAACGAACAAACGGCAAAACATGGATTGAAAGAGCTGGACCGTACCGCAGCGAACGTAGAACCAATCGTCGTTGTAGGGAGCCAGCTCCTTGGCGGTGCTGGTCTTGACGAGGTCGACCCAGCTGGGCACGGGGATCTAGAGGCAATGAGTAAAACAGCAAGAGTGAGGAAGAAGCCAAGAGATTGTCCACCATCACCCCGTGTGTTAAAAAAAAAAGGAGGAAGCGTGTTGCAGCGGTGGTGGCGAGATGCGATGTGAATCACTGTTACTCAAGATACGTGAGAATAGCAAGCAAATCCGGTCGGACAAGCAGTGGGTTCCTGAAGCTTCAAATCAGCTTTGCGCCAACCAAAGAGCGTGGTCCAATTTGAGCCGGAACACCCACCACCTGTGCCTTCCGTCAAAGCCAAGCTGCCCAACACGCAACGCAGAGGGCGGTGCCTTTCACAGTTTCACATCGCATCACGCCACCTCGAGCGCGCATGGCTGTGGATATTGCATCTTTGTATCGACTGCCACCATTTCCATGGAGCGTATGACAAGGGGAGCGTGTTGTGGCACTCCATGTGACGAGCTGGCAAGGGACGGGTCACATGCTCATGTGCCTTTTTTGAGACGCGGAACACACCTTGCCCTGACGCTTGAGCAGCGCCGCGTAGGCAGCGATCAGCTGATCAGCGGGCACATCCTTGACGGTGACGCACGCCATGGCTACGCAGAACATCGACGCGAGGCAGGGAGAAAGAGAAGAGAGAGAGAGAGAGAGAGAGAGAAGCAGACAAATCGCACGTTCGTGAGCACCGAGCCCGAAAGATGCACAGAGGGTGTAAACCGGCCCCATGGCGCTCAAAGAGCCACCAAGACGGCATACAGGAAGAGCGCACGGAGAAGAAGCATGGCAGCTGGAGTGCTGGGCTGCCGCCACAATTCAGAGGCACGCCGGCGCGCAGCTCAACGGCCGGAGAGCCAGGGCGAGCGCGACGAGCAGACACGACCGGGCAAGGCCAACAGACCTGGATGTGACTTGCGCGGGCACAAAAAAAGTGCCGTGAGGTTCAAACCTCGTGGATAGTGGATGACAACTGGTAGCCCAAAATGTCAGACTGCTCACTTTTTTACACCAGTCAATTTGTCGACGACTTTTGGCGGGAGTTAAGAGAGAGAGAGAGAGAGAGAGTGAATGAAGAGAGAGAGAGAGAGAGGATAGAGAGAGAGAGAGAGAGAGAGAGAGACAGAGGGAGACAGAGACAGAGAGAGAGAGAGAGAGAGAGAGAGAGAGAGAGAGAGAGAGAGAGAGAGAGAGAGAGAGAGAGAGAGAGAGAGAGAGAGAGAGAGAGAGAGAGAGAGAGAGAGAGAGAGAGAGAGAGAGAGAGAGACA